AAGAGCTTCCTAATTAGTCTCCCTCTTTCCAGCCAGACTCCTGACATGCCATCTGTCATAACTGCCACCAGTATGATGGAATCATACTGATCTCTTCCTAAAAAAAAAAAAAAAAGTGCAAGATAAAGCCTGGGCTCTTTAGGATAGCTAACACACCAGATCTCTCTTTTTCAAATGTGAACACAGCCCACACTTGGGCTAGAAACTCCCCAATCTCCCACATTCACCCCACTGTTCTATGTGCCCATGTATTTGCACAGGTCAGTTCTTCAGTCACCTCTGCTAGAGGCTCCCTTTGCCCTATAAACTTTAAACTTATTTGCACTCTGCTACCTTGGCTTTCTGTACTCTTTTGAGTTTACTCTAATACTCTCATTGTACCTTCAACCTCTAATGAGACATCAGGGGCTGCGCTGCATGTTCAAAATTTACTGTTATATCTCGCCAAATATTCTTGTGTTTGCAATTCAGTTAATGGCCCAATTGAATTGTCTTCTAAGTATAACCAGTACCTCCTCTTCCTTACTTCTCCATATCCATGTTCTGTTAAATATCCTTGGTTCTACTTTTAAAATAAAACTTGAATTATTTTACACCCAAAAAACATCTGTACTGCAGGGACTCTAAACAAGAACTACACCATTCTTGACCAGTTCAGTGTCCTTCTTCCTGACCTTTTTTATCACAAAACTCCCTCAATCCATCTACAACCTGCAGGAAGAATTATATTTCTAATCTAAACATGAAACATATTTTACCCCTTTAGAAAGCCTTCAATGGCTCCTCATGGTCATCAATAGTCTCTAAATACATTTTCATGAATTTCAAGAGCTTTCTCATAAGATACTTGACTTACTTTCTGGCTCCAACCAAAAAGAGAACTATGCTTATACTTTTTCTACTCTGTTTCAGAAACTCATGTGTAGTCATTGAACTTGAGAAAGTTAATTCTTTTTTCCAGCTTGGTGTCATATGCCTCTATTTCTAGCAGCTTAGGAAGCTGAAGCAGGAAGATTGCAAGTTTGAGGTCAATTTCAGCAACTTACCAAGAACCTGTGTCAAAAAAAGGAAAAAGAGTCTGGGGATGTAACTCAGTGGTAAAGCACTGCTGAGTTCAGTCTTCCTCCCTGAAGTTAATTTTTTCAAAATTGCTCATATAATAATTTTTCTATAAGATTAATTTGCAATGGCATGAAACTATTTTTAAAAAGTGAAACTAAAATAATAGAGCTTGAAATTATATATAGATTTTTTAAAATATAGCATATGGCAGACAGACTTGCAGTTATTTAAAAGAAAAAATTCTAAGGCTTCATGAAATGACTTGATAATTAAAGAACCAATGATGTTTCTTAAGAAAAATACATCACCACTTTGGAATGTAATTCCCAGTTTTAAAAGGAGTATCAGTTTGTTCATTATTTTTTTCCTAAATTAATTATAAATCATTCCTCTAAAGTGAAAAATTCTAAAATTGTTTAGTGGTTCTATCTTTTGTTTTTAAACTAACTCAAAACCCTAAATTTTTAAGAGTTAACTTATTTCTTCTCTTCACAGAATATCACTTGAATCAAGTTTATACTTTTTTTATAATGTTATTATATTTTAATACCTTTAATTTATCTATTTATATGTGGTGTGAGGATTGAAGCCAGTGCCTCACATGCTAGGTAAGTGCTATACCAATGAGCTGCGACCTTACCCCAACAATTTGATACTTTTGAATCTTGGTGATACTCCAGGAAAAACATTACCAGCAATGAGATTTCTTCCAGAAACTCAGAGAATACAATGTGAATTTAATCTGGGCTCTGTTAATTATATGTTTATAAAACACTCTGCTGGGCAGGGCAGTGCCTCAGCTCACCTGTGCTAGGCGAGTAAGGCCCTGGGTTCGATCTCCAGCAGCACATAAAAATAAATAAATAAAGATATTGTGTTCAACTACAACTAAAAATAAATAAATATTTTAAAAAAACACTCTGCTGGTGTTCTTTTCCTCAGGTATTGTTTTTAACACAAATGCATACATTCTATGACCTGTGGTTCAACCACAATTATATACTCTAAATTTCATGAGGATTTACTGCTTTCATTTATTTATTTATTCAACATTCCTAACAAATGTTTATTGAGAGCCTGTTTGGAGGTTCTAGCAGGGGAGGGCAGCTACTTGTATATCCTTGATGGAACAACAGTCCTCCTCTACTGGGGAAGGTCATCCTCTTCAACCAAGTGCTCAGCTTTGGGAGGGATGCACCTGGAGTGGTGAGGGAGGAAGGGGACACAAGCCTAGCCAGCCAGCTATGCTGAGTCAACCCTGGTGATCAATCAGGTAACAGATGTCGCAGTCAGTTTGCCCTCACATCCAGCAAATATTTTTTGAGTCCTTGCTTGAGGCAGACTTGAATTCCACCTTCATGAAATTTACATTTTATTATTACTTACTGATTATTTACTGCATGCCACGGTTGCACTAAATGTTCTTTTAGCATCATCTCATTTAAACCTTAAAAGTCAGCACAATGAGATATCTAGTTGTCACTATTAGTTCTGTTATTGTTTTATACCCAAGAAAACAGAAGCTTATCGAGATGGTAACCAAACATGATTCTGAATGAGGAATCACTATGTGTAGCTCAAAACTCAAAAATAGTCTTTCCCCCCAAAAAAGTTTTATTGATCAATTATAGTTGTACATAATGGTAGGATTTGTTGTGACACGTTAGTACATGCACACAATATAACCACATAATTTGGCCCATATCATTCCAAAAATAGTCTGCCTTCAATAGAGCAATGGCAGTATACACAGTACTGACCCCTGAGTTGTCAAAAAAAAAATTTTAGGTGATATGTCTTGAATAAACTGTTCAAAAAGGGTGTGAGTTGACAGAAGCTTTTCCTATTCTTTGGGTTTCCCTTTTTCTTTTTACTGAAAGTTTTAAAAGACCAGTTATCTGGAGCTAATATTGACCATGAAGAAAAAGATCTAAGGAATTGATTTCAACAATTCAGACTGCCTGCCTCTGGATGTTATATGAGAATAAGAAAATTGTTTTATATAAGATACTGTTATTATATTTTTTATTACATGCAGCTAAACCCAGTCCTTAATTGACACTCCCCAAAATCCATATTCTCTATGTCCCCATTGAATGATCTTCTATAGTGTTCATCATTTAAAAAGCTAGCCCCTACTGCAGCGTGGTCTCCCAACACATTAAGAAAAAAATCCCAAATCTCCTAGCCCAGTGTGAATTGCATTCTGCCCCACCTGTATGCCTGTTACCCTGGAGGCTTTTCAGCCTTCTTTTTGTTTCTAGAACATTCCAAGAAGACTCCTCAAGATCTTTACATCACCTACTTGCCCAGTATGCTTCTATAGAACCTATGCATAGGTTCTATGCTTCTTTGATATACTGGCTCCTCTTTCTTGTTCAAAGCTTCCTGTCACCACTCCAGAAAGGTCTCCCCTAACCATAACCTGTTCTGAGGAAGCCACCAGAGTAATTATAACAACATCCTACTTAATTCTTTTCATAGCATTCTATACTATATTTTTCTTTTCATTGGGTTGTGTTGTGTCTATCACTGGCCATAGTTCACCAAAATATAAATTCAACTAGAACAGTTTTCTTGTCTTTGTTCTCTACTACTCTGACATCTAAATAATGTCTGGTACATAGAAACTCAGTAAATATTGTTACATGAACAAATGGCTTTATAAACTTCCTCCTAAAAATATAAACCCTTGTAATTAGAATTCCCTACATTTATTTTATGCTTCAGCATATTTAAGTGTATAAAATATTCTGTTTTTCTCTTCTTTATCCTTTATTCTGAGCATATTGCTATAAGAATAATAAAAAGACATAAACTAGAGCTAGATTTATAGTAATAAAATGTCTAGAAATGAGACAAATAGATGCTGGATACACTGAAAAATCAATTTTCAATTTGACACATTTATGTAACAATTTTATATTTCTATCTATCTAAGTGTACTTTTCAATTAATATTACAAATTTTGATGGCTAATGAGAAAAAATAAAGTGTAAACATTTATTTTTAAGATTTCTCACACCTTATCTTGGGTTGAATGGGTATGGATAGCATGTTATATTTACTTGGAGCTTATTGAGAAGATTGACATAAGTCCAGAGTCTTAATTACTGAACAATCTATGTTCATCCCTCAGAATTCCTTTTTAATGTAATAAGGTGGCCTAACAGCGGTTAAGAGCTCAGGTTCTAGGTCTAAACTACCTGGATTGGATATTTATAAAAGTCTTCATGTATATTACATAATCTCTCTGTATGTCTGATTCTCCATATATATTATGGATGAAGATAATATTTACCTCATAGGTTGTTTTGAGAATTAAAGAGAGGTAAAACTCTTGAAAAAAAGCCTTATGTTTAGTAAACATTGAATCATAATTCTAAAATGAAACATCACGATGAAACATAAAAAAGGATGAGGTTTTTCTGTTTGAATTGGGGAGAAAGGAATTAAGGCAGGTGGATTGGGATATATTTCTTTCCTGATTACCATGTTAATATTCCTGAATGAAGACAGAAGACAAATAACCTATATTGCCTCCTTAGAAATAGAATAACTAGATCTCTAGGGGAATAATCCTAGGCACTAGAACTGCAGATGCTTTGAGTAAAGACATTGTGTATTTACCAGGAATTATTTCTTTACATAGGAATGAAGTTTCAAGAGGATAAGTCATAGATTTTTAGTAGAGATATGCTGATATTAATAATACAGGATTAACATTGCTGAAACAATATCTGTTTTTGCTGTTGGGGATGGAATCCATGGTCTTGTGCAATCTATGCCCATGTTCTAACACCAGGCCTACACTCCAGCCCTCAATACTAACTTGAAAGTCTTCATGTTGCCATACTTTTTAAGACCATGATGAAACAGATAAATGGGAATGCTCATATCTGGACTAAACTAAGTGGGTTACTTTAATAATCCATTCCAAGTTTCCAAGCTGAAGTGAAATGTAGATGATGTAGTTTTTAATAGACTTCCTTCACTAGCATTTTATACATTTCTAATTCATAATTTGATTTTATTCACATAAGTTTGACTTAATTCTGAAAATAACTGGCTCAATCTTTTTATTCTCATCTCCTTCCAACACTATAAAAGAATCTACTATCATTAATATAATTTGGGACAAATGCAATGCATTGCAGCTAAACTGATGTGGATTTAATTTTCCTGCTGACTCTGGAATTTATTGCCTATCTTCACAGGTAACTTGTTAATACTTTTCATTTCAAGGTTCAATTGCTATCATGTAACAGATAGGAACTATTCTAGTACAAAGATAATTGCAGCTCCCTGATTCATTAATTTGGCATTGAATTCCCAGTTTCAATAAAGTAATTTAAATTCCCATTTAAACAAGTAGATTTTTGTACAATGAGAATGGGGTGAAGAGGGGAGAGAGTTGAAGGAGTTGAAGAGAGTGAAGAAGGTAAAGGTCAGGGTGAGTGGGACCTCACTTTTTTAGGAGGTGGGAATCTATTGGATTCACACAGAGGATTGAATATGGTTAGAGCTCAGTTTTTTAGTTGAGCCTCTGTTAAAAAAAGGGATGATTTTCTGTACAGTTTTCACTACTCCTAGCAGACCTGCATAACCATTTCTGTTTTGAAAATTCGGTACATTGTGATGCATTTCATCAAATGTGAAGTGGATACAGGGCTGAATCTATTGTCTAAGGGATATGATAGTAACTAGGCAGGAAAAAAGCACCTTCTGTGTCCTTGTTAGAATTCAGAAATAAACAGAATTTACACATGAGGAAAAGAAGATGAATTAATGATAATATTTCAGTTTTAAACATTATTAACAAAAAGTGAAGTTATTTACAAAATCTTTAACAGACATATCTCCTCAGGTAGCTGTGAGACAACTTCCACAAGAACTGGCTGGTAACCTGACAGAGCAACCTATGTTAGAGGCTTCACTAGAACATTCATCCAGTAAACACCTTGAAGTAGAATATAAGGCACAGGTTTTGAAGAAGAAACTAGATCAAATCAATTGTAAAGTATGTATTGATTGTATTTGTCAACCATTGATCTGCACCTGTTTCAATTATGTTAAATGTTTAAGGATAAAAACATCAGTGGACAGTGTTATTTGTATTTTTATTATAATTAATTTTATTACACTTTCTTTATAGTGCATTTTTTATAAATCCTGAGTTTTATTTTTACATTTTTTGTAATACCATGCATGTTTTCTCACTTGCAATCCAGTGACTTGGAAGAATAAGGCAGGAAGATCACAAGTTTAAGGCCAGTCTCAGAAACTTAGTAAGGCCCTAAGCAACTTAGCTAGTCCCTGTCTCAAAAAGAAGTG